GGGGGGGGGGGTGTGCGTGTTGTGTTAAATCCGCGTTATTTTTCATTGTTGCATCCCCCTCCCCGGGCCCCCCCCTCCCGTGTTCCGCTCCATGCGTGGGGCGTTGCGGGGGGACCTTTGTTGCGGGGCGGTTTTATCGCGGTTTTCGCTCCGCGCATATTTATTTTCCTCGCTTCCCATCCGCAGGGCCGCATGGAATATCTGGTCAAATGGAAGGGCTGGTCGCAGAAGTAAGTCGCCCGTGGGGCCGGGGGGTCTGCAGCAGGGGCCGGGGGGATGCTGGCTGCACCCCCGCTCCCCCTTTGTGCCAGAATGCGAACTGGGTCCCTCCTTTTATGCCCCCGTTTTTTTATTTCATTTATCTTGTCCTTTGCTGGCTCTGCTCACGCTCTCCTCTCTCTCCGTGCCCCCCCAGGTACAGCACTTGGGAACCCGAGGAAAACATCCTGGATGCCCGGCTGCTCGCAGCCTTCGAGGAGAGGTACAAGGCCTTTACGAGCTGTAGCAGTTGTGCTTGTAAATATGTTGCTGTCTTGTAGCTATGCTGAATTGAAGCTTTGGTTCTTTTAACACCTCTAGGGAGCGAGAAATGGAACTTTACGGGCCCAAAAAGCGAGGCCCCAAGCCCAAAACCTTCCTGCTAAAGGTAAGGGGGCCGGAGCCCACACGTGAGGGCTGCACGCCAGAGCGAGGGGCTCCTTCTGGCCCCTCTGGAGGATGCTCCCCTCAAAGGTGGCCTCTTGTAAGTTGTAATTATGCAGCCGGATGGCAGGATAATAAAGTCACCGGGTGATTTATCTTCTTTGCAGGCCCAGGCAAAAGCCAAAGCCAAAACCTATGAATTCCGCAGTGACTCTTCCAGGGGGATCCGGGTGCCGTATCCCGGCAGGTCCCCCCAGGAGCTGGGCTCCACGTCCCGGGCTAGGGAAGGACTGAGAAACATAGCCCTGGCCCCCCAGGGCAGTTCCAGCACCAGCACCCCCAAGGGAGACAGCATCCGGGACCGGGTGATCCGTGTGGAGGAGAAACCCGGGGAGACCCCCAAAAAGAGAGGCCCGAAGCCCAGGAAGGAGCTTTACAAGGACCTGGCGGAGACTCTGGATGCCTCCAAGAGGAAACTGGGGGACCCGGGGGACAAAGTGGGGGACTACCTGAAGGCCAGGAAGATGGAGGAGGCGGCGACGGGGGCGGCCAAGTTTGGCTCGGGACACAGCGTGATCCAGCTGGCCCGGCGGCAGGAGCCCGACCTGCCCGGCGCCCTGCCCGGCCCCAACCGCGCCGAGGCGGGCGCCGAGACCTTCCCCCCGCGCCTGGCCAAGCACCGCGCGGACTTTCTGGACCCCAAGGGGCAGGGGGGGCTGGACCCCGGCGGGCCCAAGCTCCTGCACGGCGCGGTGAGCCCGGGCGGCGTGGGCAGCCTGTACCGCGACGGCGTGGGGGGCCCGGCGGGGCGGCCCTCCCTCATCGCCAGGATCCCCGTCTCCAGGATCCTGGGGGACCCCGAGGAGGAGTCCTGGAGCCCCTCTCTCAACAACCTGGAGAAGGTGGTGGTAACTGATGTGACCTCTAACTTTTTGACCGTCACCATCAAGGAGAGCAGCACGGACCAAGGATTCTTTAAGGAGAAGCGATGAGTTTGGTGGAGGTGGTGCTGGGGTTTTCTTCAGTCAGATCCAGACAAAAGCTTGGTTAGAGCTTGGTGGGCCTCTCTTCTTTTTTTTTTTTATTCTTTT